AATTATACGCAGAGCATGTACCAACTTTCTGGTATTAATTAAGGTTGGACGATAATTAATTGTCTGTTAACTACATTGAATTTGAAGCAGTTTTCATGTGTTAGTTGTGTTACCTTCCTTGGCTATAGTTCGCACCGAGAACCTCATATTCTCGTCTAAAATTAATGGCATTAATTAGTTCCATAGCCAATTGAGCTAGTGGTTCCATCCCTAAATTTAGCAAGGACTAATGGGAAAAATAAGCAAAGTCTCTAATTTAAAATCCATGTTTAATTAAAAGAATTTTGTAGCTAGCTTGCTGTGATCACAAGTTAACAAGCACAACTGAACCTATGTTATAAAATACAGTCAAACTTCTTTCTAACAGTCTTATTTGTCCCGATATTTTTTGGCTGCTATAGCAAAATGATGTTATAGATGACACATATTATAACATAATATAAAAATTGATTCCGAGAATAATTGGCTTTTTATAGTATAAATAATTGTTATATACGCTATTATAAGAGGTCTGACGGTGACTGTTAAATCAAATCTTTCTCAACTAACTCAATCTTTTAGTAGAAAATGTTGAAAAGCCAACAACTTTTTTTTGGTCAATCGAACGTGATTTTCTTGTCATTAACAGATTTTCCCAAAATACAAACATTAATACTTTATTGTTTCCCATAATACATGTCTAAGAGAACGAGAAGCTCTATTTACAAATTTTGCTTCCTCTTTTCTCTTTTTTCCTTTTGTAACAATAATAATGGTAGTAACAATTTTTACATTTCACAATTCACATACCATGTTTTCACACACCTTCTTCCTTCTCCTCCTACCCATAAAAAAAAACAAATAAAAAGAAAAGAACAAACAAAGAAGAATTTTTACATCAGCCATGGTGATTGACTATCATGGACCAAGGTACCAAACAAAGTCCCTTCTTCTTTAGTTCTATATAGCCATTGTTTTTTCCATCAAATGATGTGCTGTTTCTCTCAACTGTTTGCATTTCTTGGATTTGTCTAGAGCCACCTTCATTTCCCTATACAATAATCAAACACCCAAAAAAGTAGCATTTTAGACATGGTTCAAATCTTCTGGGAAAAACCCCCACAAACCACAGTTTTATTTTTCCAAAAAGATTGATATATAAGTGGAAAATGTTGGAATCTGGAAAGGAAAAGATTAATTACCAGGAAATATCCACTACTATTTTCAGTTCTGTAATTGATGTCCATCTGCTTAAAACTACTTACCTGTCATAATAAAGCAACATATCTCAATGTAAAATGAAGAATTAATAACTGAAATAGCCGCGCATCCAACAGCCTAACCTAATCGTTAGACAAAACATAATCGGTGGAGGTATAATATATGTATAATCCTTATATAATATATGTATAATCGTAGATAATTAATAGTATATATAATCTATGTATACCGACTAAAAAAAAGCTAAACAACCAATTCAGACAGTTATTTATGTAAAGATACCATATAAAATATTGTGGAGAAAAACCAACAAAAGATGAAACATAAATAAAAATTAGGAGATGGTTGTAGGTGACCTTTGGACTATTGACAGGTGAGCTAGCAGTGTCTTCCAAATCAGGATCAGAAATTTTCTTGTTTCTTTTTTTCTTCATTTTCAACCTCTTAAGAAAAGGTGATCCACCCATGGGAGGAGAGCATGAATTATTATTTGTGTTACAATTAATGTTCCATGCAGCATGAGAAGCAGCATCAGATAACAAAGAAGGGCTGCCAAAACTATCAGAATTACATGAGCTATTATTTTCCCTTTGCTTCATTGAAAAATCCTCCAAATAAGTTGTCCATCCACTTTCTTCAGCTGCTGCTTCCATCTCAAAATTTGAATTATTTGGACCTTCCATGTTTCTTGAAGTAGTGGTTTCAGGTTTGAGGGATATATTCATCTCATTTATACAGGGATTGTGTATAAATAAGGAAAATAGGAAACTAGGTGGGACCCATGATGTGGAATCTTGGTGGTGGGGCCAGGTGGGGAAGTTGAGAAAGTTAAAATCAACCGTTCTAATCGGGCATCTCCAACTTTTACACCATTTTTTGTTCCCTAGGGATTTCCCATTTTGGGGACAACTTACTCCAACCATTCCCCTCATTTTTTTTTTCCAAAATTTTTTATATTCTTCTCTCTCTTATATATTATATTATTATTTTTCATTTCAATTTTATTTTTTAATTTCCATTAAACAAATTCCATCTTTTATTTTTATTAATTTGTAATTTCCATAATTAAAACAATTCCATAAAATTTTAAATAATATAATTTGTAAGCAATTATTATAGATTGACTAATAATTCAAATAAAAGTGAAATCATTGTGATACAAGATTAATTAAATACATATTACATAACGATAAAATTCATTCGAAATACTAGATAAATACTCCATCCGTTTCAATTTATGTGAACTTATTTCCTTTTTAGTCCGTGCCAAAAAGAATGACATTTTTTCTTATTTGGAAATAATTTACCTTTATGCAATGATTTATAGCCACACAAAATATATGTGCTTCATTTTACACCACAAGTTCAAAAGTTTTTTCTCTTTTCTTAAACTTCGTGCCCAGTCAAATGAGTTCACATAAATTGAAACGGAGGGAGTATTCAACTTCAACCTCTAGTATTCTCTCATAAATGATCTATTAATGCATTACGAAGTGCAAAATGAGCATCTTTGTCCTTAATTCTTCTATGTCGAAATAAAAATTCTTGAATCGTTGATTTTCATCTACTGCTATTTCTACATAAAAATAATAAATGCACGAAAATTAATTTATCAAAATTATACACCAAAGTTAAGATATAATATTAATATTATAAATACATTACATAAACATAATTAGATATATATAAAGAGATAAATTAAAAGATTAAATAATAAAAAAATGATGAATAATAATGGGGAGATGAATAGTGTACCCCATATTTGAGGGAACACTATTCATCCCCCATTTTGGGGACAAAAATGGGGGAGGGTTGGAGCTAAATTCCCCCAAATATTTCCCCCATTATGGAGGATGGGGGCAAGGTTGGAGATGGCCTAATGTGACAGACGTGCAGAAAGGAAAAGAAATTTCAAGGGAGAGATGGAGGATATTGGTTGACCTTTGTTGTTTAAATGCCGAGACAGACTTTATGGATTCTAAATTATAGGGAGAGCTTTATCCCGAATGAGACTATCCGGTACGAATTCAGATTTAATCAAACTCCAAAGGGAGTATCGGACACCGAGTGAGAAACCCTATAAGATTAGACAAAATTACTAGATTTGATCGAACTCATAGCTAATATTCTAGTTTGGCACCTATTTAAATGATATTGCGTAATATAAAGCCATTTCTACCCATTGGTATAAACAGAAAGGTGTTTAACCTCTAGTGACATTTTATTTATCTACAACTATAAAATTTAACTACTACTAATATTTTGAGGGAGGCATTAATTAATTAGATTACTTGGGAATAGGTTCATGAACTATTTCAAATTAAATGTGTACTAGTGTTCACACTATTATTCTTTCGCAGTTTATACGTGGAAAGAATTGGCCAGCGATTTGTTTTAATTCATTTTAAGAAAATGAAGAGGATGAACTTAGAGAAGGGGAATGTTTGTTGGTTTATATAATAAATTAAATGACTTAACCTACTAAAAGATATCATAAATACAAAACTGGAAAGAGGTTTACTTAACTAAGAAAAGATCGTCATGGCGTTCATATCGCAAGGAACTTGTCATGTTATGGCTTCAGAGTTCAGCCTTTGTCGAGCTTGAACTGGCCGGCAATTAATTAGAAATAAATGAGCTAGTATATATATTTAGGGGGAAAACTTTACATAAGAAAATGGGATTCTAGGATAATTAGTACACGTCCACCTTCTTACACCTATGTTGGAAAGTTCGAAACCCACAAGTAATATCCTCTTTCTCTTCCATTTTCACTATGTAAAAATTAAAGAAAAAAACAAACAGAAAGTGGGCATTTACCCTAAACTCTAAACAAATACAAATGTGAATTTGAAACTAAACCTTTAGCTTTATTATTGGCTTCCGCTCCAAGCACGAGGGAACAAAATCAAGTTATGTAGTAAAGTATCTATTTACTAAATTGATTATAAGTTGAGTTTCACTTATAATTATTTGTTTATTTCATGCACAAAAGTTAATGGAGTAGTTATAAGGACACAAATATTTGTAGGATAAATAGAGTCCTGCTTTTATCTTGTTATTCTGTATAATGTACTAGAGACGATTCATGTTAGGCGTTTGTACATGACACAAATATTTGTCCTGATTTTTTTATCATATTTTTGTTTTTATTTTATTTATTTTTTTGAAGGAAATGCAACATGCTTACCATAATTGATTTTTCTTTTCCTAAAAGAAAATTATAAATCTTTCATATTTGCCTAGTCCTTTTTCTTGGCGGAAAAGGTTTTGAGCTTCTATAAATTGAGGATCCGCCCTGCTAGGAAGAAATTAAAAAATAGCCAGATTTACAAGTGGTCATTTAAAAATAGTCACAGTTTCAAAAGTAATCGAAATTTAGCCACTTTTCATGTAAAGATAAATTTAAACGAAAACACTGTTCAAAATCCGAAAAAATATTCCAGTATAATATACTAGAGGTTCATACACAGGTGCACCAATCTCTAGTATATCATGTTGGAACTTTCCGTGTTACAGTAAAATAGTGGCTATTTTTTAATGACTTTGCAAATGCTGACTATTTTTAACGACCAGTCCGAAAACTAGCTAGTCTGTCCTATTTTTACGTCTTCCTAGGGGTGACATTTTGAGCTCAAGCCCAACTAACTAGCCAAATAAATAGTGGGTTGGGCATAAAAGAATTTTATTGATTGGTCGTTCTGGGCTGAGCCCATTTCAACCCGTAAAAATAATTAGCCCAACTAAACCCGTTTAGATACCCAAACATGACCCGTCAAATTCTCAAAACCTATCTCTGTGCACTCTCTGAACTTCAAAAACGAGCTAGCCTTTCTCTCCGGTGCACTACCTTTTCTCCGGCGGCTTCCTTTTCTCCGGCGATTTTCTTCTCTCCAGCGAACTCTTTGTTGGGGATTTTTTTGGATCTCGAATTTTGGCCATCAAAATAGGTGAGTATGCAACTCCACTTTCCTTTTTGTTTTCTTGTAATATGTGAAATTTCATCATTGTTGAAGATGATAAATTGGACTTGAATCTGCTGATTTAAACAAAGGTTGTATTTTGGTAAACACTACACATTTGTTGTTGCTCTTCTTCTTATCTACCTGGGATTCAACAGACAGTTTTCTAGGATAATCCTCAAACTTCACTTGCTTTTTCACTTTATTAACAATCGTATTTTGTTTTCCACAAACTTCTTTCTTCAAGCCAACATAGACAATGATGTGACATCAACTTTCTTCTGCCCTTTTTCTGAACATTTTTTCTACTGTTATTTGCGGCCTTCTTTGGCTTCATTTCTTGATTTTTCACCTTATTGGATTTTTAATACTAAAGTTCTTTTTCTCTTCTTCATCATTGAAGCAAAATACCAAAAACTCTGACTTAAATTCTTGATCAAAATGCAAAAAGACACAGATGTTCTAATTCTTCTATGATAAAAATATTCAGTTATATTAAATTGCATCAAGCAATCAAGAGAATTAACTGACTTGTTTCTTGGTAATGAACAACAAAAGTATTTTTTTTCTTCAGGTAATGAGTATAATCCCATTAGCGTTGCTACAATTTCTGGACTATTGGAGGTAATGAGTCTAATCCCATTAGCCTTGCTATAATTTCTGGACTATTGGATTAACTTTATTACTACTAATATTTTTATGAGCCTTGAAAGCTAATTTCTGACTAGAATGGTCAAGTTTTGATGGTCCTTTGATTTGCAATGAAAAAGTTAGGATTGTTGAAGATAATTTGCATAGGTTGTTTAAAGAATACATGACAATATCCGATGTTGGAATTGTTAGAAGTAGTAGTCATGAATGTTATGATGAAACAATGGACGAAATGGATGAATTTGATATGTTTGAAAGTTCATCTGAGTATCGTTCAGAAAAGACAGTTGGATTTATATACTTGGAAGAGCCTGTATTAGTTCGCAAAGAAAATAAAAATATACTTACATTTTGGAAGGATAATAGAAGCAAGTATCATGAACTCTCATTGATGGATCGTGACCTGTTAAGTATACCTATCAGCGCAGTTGCATTTGAGTCAGCTTTTAGTATTGGTGGTCGTCTGGTCGAGTTATTAGCAACTTCCAGAGTTCTATTCTACCGGAGAATATAGAAGCTAAGTTGTGTTCTAGAGATTGGATTTATGGGCATCAAGGTACATTATAATCAATATCGTGTGTATTTTATTTTATGAACTTTCTCGTTGTTTGACAATTTTTTAAATTTTCTTATTTTTAGCTTGTGATGATTCTGAAGAGGAGGACATTGCAATAGATGTGGAGAAAATTACCTCTACACTTTTAAAAAGTTTAAATCTTGGTATCATTCAGGCTTTTTTCTGTATGAGTTTCAGAAATATCCCATTCATAGATTCGAGATCTACATCTATGAATTAAAATTTTTTCACTTGATTGTATATTAAGTTTTCCATTTATGCACACCTTCCAAAATTATGATTTCTCATTTTACTTATGGTGTGTGATGCTTTGTCAGGATAACTTTGATGCTAGAAAGAGGAAGATAAAAAGTGTGTGTTGAAGAAGATGTTGGCTTCAATCTTTACTTACTAGTTGTCAGCTATGTAGTAAGAATGCGTAATCTTTCTGTTAGTTTCAAAGACAATCATATTATTGTAGTTTGATTGCTGTTTTGATAACATCTTTCTGTTAATTTCAAATAAAGTGGAATTCTTGTTCATCAGATGGTGATCATCAAATATCATTTGTATCATTCATATTGTTGCCCGAGGGGCTATTGTTGATTCATATTGTTGCCCGAGGGGCGGTTCTTGATTCATGTTATGCCTGAGGGGCTGATTACAAGTGATTATGAGGTAGCCCGAGGGGCTGGTTCTGTTGATATTATGCCCGAAGGACGGTTTATTGTACATGTTTTGTCCGAGGGGCTGTTTATATTTTCCTATCATTTTTACTCACTGTTTTATCACTCGTTTGAAACTATTGAAAATTGTTTTAAAAGGTTTTACGGAAACTGAGCTTGATTTACGAAGTAAATGATTCTTTATTGTTTTGGAAATGTACTGCATTTGCTGTAGCGTTATGAGGTGGCTTACGTGTTTTCTTACTGCTCAGCTTTCATTTACTTTTATTACTTACTGAGTTGGCGTACTCACATTACTTCCTGCACCTTGTGTGCAGATTTAGGTATTTCTAAACCCGTAGTGGGTGTTGATTGCTCAGTGGCAGAGTCATTGGAGATAGCAAGGTAGCTGCCCGACATTCGCAGCCTTGCTCTTCTCCCTCTTGTCTTCCTTAGATTGTTTTTTGTATATTTTCAGACTTTTCGTTGTATTCAGACCTTAGTAGATGCTCGTGACTTGTGACACCCCGATGTCGGGCTTGTGTATTTATTTTGTACTATTCATTTAGATGTACCTTAATAGATATTTGATTAATTAAAGGCTTAAAATGACTTTTATTGATTATTGGTTAATTCGGGAGTTGTGTCGGTTGGCCTAGTTTCACGATAGGCGCCATCAAGACCGTGTCGATTTTAGGGTCGTGACAAGTTGGTATCAGAGCCAAGGTTACATAGGTCTCACGAGTTATGAGCAAATTTAGTAGAGTCTTGCGGATCGGTACGGAGACGTCTGTACTTATCCTCGGGAGGCCATAGAACCTTTAGGAAAAACTTCACATTCTTGAATTCTTATCGTGCGTCCTTGATTCAGCTTGAAGTGTAACTCTTTGAATTCCTTCCACGCGTTCGTATGCGTGCATGAGCGCTCGGTATCGGCTGTGCGTCGACGGCTTGAGATTCCCTGATCGAGGGGTGAGATGTGATCTCTATGTGTTGATGTTGGGCTAGTTTGGAGGACTTGAGGCCAGGCCTTGCCTATAGCTTGAGCCCTAAGTTGTTGATTGCGTGAGCACATATTTCTGGATTTATATGTTCGATAGTGCCCCTATTAATGGAAGTGATGACTAGATGGTTACATGATGAGTGTGATGTGACTGCGAGATATGTTTATATGAATTGAATGAGACGAGAAAGGTCAGCTTGAGGGTAGCAAGAACTATCTACTGCTTGATTTCCATCATGATTTAATGTATAGCCCCGAGTTGTGGGGGTGTTGAAGGATCTTTTCATGATTGCCTAGTTGGGAAGTGAAGTAGATTTCATGTTGTGATATGAGTTCAGACTCAGGAAGATTAAGTGACTGCGTAATGTTTATGATGGTGGAAGGGTATAAAGAGATGTTAGTTTGAGGTGAAGCAAGTGGGTTATCTCCTGTGGAGTGTTTTGAAGTTGTGTGATCCTTGTGTTGTTTGTTGGAAGATCTCTTTTACCAGTGAAATGTATGTGCTGCAATTTGAATTTGGGTCGCTTAAGAGAGTGGCTGACCGTTACGAGGGTGAATGCAAGACTTGCAAAAGATTTAGCGTACTAGATGGTCCGTGTTGCACGAGCTTATGAAGGATTAAGTTTAAGCTCACTATGGTATTATGGCAGTAATAGAGTATATGAATTATGAGTTACTGTGTGTTTTGATCTATGGTTTTGGGCCAAGTGGGGGAGTCTGCTATTGATTAGTTGGTTGCGCGGTTATGTGCTATGTTGGTTCCAGTTTGAGGTATGCTGGTGAATCAGTTATAGCTTACGGAGGTATGAGAATCACAGAATGACTTGAGTTGTTATTGGTAAAGGATGTACGGTGCATAGAACAAGAAGTTGCTTGGTTGCATTAAGGTGAGGTTACATTTTGCGGTGTCGGAGTGCTATTGGAGCACAGATCATCCTGTTCGTTTGACCGGTCTAATGGCGGTTTGAGTAGAGTGGATGACTCTCTGTAATGGTTTTAGTGGGTTCAAGACCTTACATGTAATAATTGGAGATCTTCAGGTTGTATATTTGGCTAGAAACTGAGGTTTGCATTAGAGGGTGTCAAGACTTGTAGCATTTCTATATTAATTATGGATTTCTATATATCAGTATCAGAAAGGTGAAGGTAATGGCTTTGGATTCGCAGGAAGTCTCTTCAGGGTAGGTATTTTGAATGTGGTGCTTTTGGGAATATTTAAGAGAGTATTCAGTGGCTTATGAGCCTTAGATGGTGCGGTTTTATGCTTGGGTTTCATGTGGTGAGTCTAGGTAGACGAATTATGGTGTTATAGTGAGAAGAAGTATCCAGTTGAAGGTAAATCAGAAGGAACTTGGATAGATGAGATAGCTTGGTAGTAGGCTGGATCGGCATGGTAAGGATATGATTAGTTCTTTGGGTGCTTACGAGGTAATGAGTTTCTACAACTGTTTCGCGGCAATGCTCTTGGGATTTAGTGGATTGCGTAGCTTGGTTGAGATAGCAGGGTCCAGTACTGACGGTTTAGTTTTGTGCAAGTGGAATTCAGAGAGTTTTTGATGATTTCTACTACGGTTGGAGGTGTACATTTCTACTGGCGTGGGGAGCATGGGAGGTATAGTGATTTTCTCCTAGATGGGATCAAATGGAAAAGTTCTTGGCTAGTTGAGTACGTAGTTTCTTGTAGCTCGGAGTGGATTATGAAGTTCTCATATTTATCATAGGATGACATGGTATATGCAGTATGTTATGTAGGGTTTAGATTTGCATGTGTGAGGTCACGGTTCAATTCTGTAAGGAAGGTCATAAATTCTTAAGCAGCATGGATAGTTTTAGATGACTAGGTAAATGATATCACTAATTTGTGCGGCTTGATGAGGGTATACATTTTAGAAAGGGCAATGTGTTTGAGTTAAGGGTATTCATTTGTTTTTGCGGCGCTCTCTTGTTGGATCGATTGCTGATATTCAAGTTTGCTTGGTGGCACAGAAGAATAATAGGAGTATCCATCATGGAATGATTCAGTATTAGAGGGTTGTTATACCTTCGAGCGGTGGAGTTGGGATCGGATATGGTGATTCGTGCGTTTTATGAATTTCGAGATGGGGAGTTCTCATAAACAGGTTATTTTGTGGCTGTGGATCATGAAGATGTGTGCAAAGCTAATCAGATGTTAGTATGTGCCATGATTCAGTCATTGTGAACTTTCGGAGAGTTATCTATCTGTTGCGAGTGACCAGAGTTGATTTAAGGTTCATTGGTAGGCCTAGTATGGATGTGTGTTCTGTACCGGATCGGAATTATTGACTCCGAATTGCTATTATTGAGGGATGTGCCATTCGATTATCATTGAGCTAATTCATATTGAGTTACCCTTATGTGTTGCGAGGAGTTGTGATTGTTGGTTATATGCACATATGGTGCTTTTCTATTTGGGCTTTATGGTAGAATTTGAGTGAGACGGGTATTTGGGTGTAACATGATTGATTGTGTATTGGATATGTTCTTTCGGGATGGCATGTCAATTCATCATTACTTATCCGTGGTTTTGGTGATTTACTTTTGGTATTAGACATCAAACTACGCGTGGTTGATGATTTTGAGCATGGTGACTTAAGGTGTCTCATGTGGACCAGTGTTTAGATAGGGTCACGCATTGCAACGAAGTTATGTAGAGGTATGATCCTTCGGGTTAGATTCATGCGTTTTGGTTCTACAAAGGGTGATGGGTTCTTAGTATTGTGTTGTGGTGGTACTGGTGAGCTTGCGGTACAACTATCTCATTTGAGTCATTTTTTCATGATTTGAGTATATTCGGACTGTTGCTTATTGTTGCGCGAGTCGCACGGGTTGTGGCTTTATATTGTATCAATGTGTCATGTCACTAGAGTAGTCATGTTGGATGAGATGAGGTCATTGAGATCTAGAATGAATACTATCGAATTCGATTTCAGCATGTTGGAAAGATAATATCGAGATTTGGCTTAAAATTTACTATGGTCTTTGCCGAAGGAGAGGGAGCTCCATGACTGGTTGATCTGAGGAATGGTTATGACTTTTTGCGTGTTTCATTGATCATTGTCAGTATACGAAAGTGTTGGAATGAGGCTTTGGTTTGATAAGAGGTTTATTACCGGAATTGGGTTATTTGAGCAGCTGCTGTGATTGGAAGTTATCGCTATGAGTATTTGAGTTGTGTGGTATATCTGTGATTTTCATCTTGGATTGCGGTTATGGATTGATACAGCGTGTTCAGATTTATTCAGTTTGTAGATGTGAGATTCTAATCTTATAGACAATTTCGGGAGTGGAAAATTGGTTCTAATATGGGCTAGGGTGAATTGTGAAATTTTAGTTATGTTGTGTTACCAGACCTATATGGGATAGGGTGACGTGGGATCACCCCTAGTAGGTGCATGGTAAGGTTACCCAGTAATTTGATGGTTTTCGGAACAACTCTAGGCACGTTCGAGGACGAACGTATGTTTAAGTAGGGGAGGATGTAACGACCCGACCAGTCGTTTTGAGCATTTGCACTTCGCTTGCCGGTTCTCGGGCATGACTAGCCCCATATGATGTATTATGACTTATGTAAATCATCGATTTTGGTTTTCAGGATAATCAGAATAGATTTGGAAGAACAATTCTCAGCTTGAAGCTTTAAATTTGAAGGTTTGACCAAATTTTGACTTTTTTAGTGTTCGATCTCGAATTTGGATTTCTATGATTTGGTTAGCTCCATTAGCTGATTTTCGACTTGGGAGAGCGTCCGGAATGTATTTTAGAGGTCGTGGTAGATTTAGGCTCGAATTGGCAAAATTGGAAATTTGGCATTTTCCGGTCGGCAGTGGAAATTTTGATATTGGGGTCGGAATGG